AAATCATATAGTCTAGCACCATCACCCCTATTAGATGGGGACCCTCGTATAGGTTGCATTTAGTTTGACGCTTACTGCTATCAGCTGCAGTGTTCTAGAATTCAAAATTCCCTTAAGAACAGTTTTCTAGAATTAATAGAATAATTTAACAGAACTTTCCCCTTTTAAGAATAAATAGAAACCATTTAACAAAATTTTTCAAAATCAAACAGATACGATTTCACAAATTTTTCCATATACAGAGTCAAATATAATTAACAGATTTTTCGTTACAAAACAATTTTAGAAATGCCATCCATGTCCCTTGTTTCACTTTTAAAACAGAATTTAATCAATTTTTCAGAAAACAGATGTATGATATAAAACTAGATTTATTACAGATATGAAAAGCAAAAAGGCTCATAAATATACATTATTACTCACTAAAATGATAGAAACTGAGAAATCCAATCTCTGGCAATACGGGCTCAACAAGTGTTGCGCAAATAATCTAAAATCATAAAATAATGAAATATCTCAATTTCTGTCTCTAATATATTTAAGAATCGCATAAATGAAATTCCTTAATTAAACCTCGATTAAAATTCTAGATTTCCATGCCCGAACTCATACCAAGGTCATTAAAGTCTCAAACCGATTAAATAAATCATGAACCAAGTATCAAAGTCATAACTCAATCTCTCAAAACATCAAAACTAGTCTATTTAAACCCAAAACTATCATTTAATGTAGTAAACCGATCATGAACCGACCATGAACCGGACTTTAAATCACTGAACCGGCCATAACTCAATCTTCATAACACTGAACCGGCCTTGAATCGGTCTGAAAACCACTAAATCGGCCCTTTATATGCTGAACTAGCCAGTTTGATGCTTAATTTCCCTTGAACGGGCCTAAAGCAGTGATATTTTCATTGAATCAGAATTAAACCAATTAATTTAATTAATTATCTAATTAATTTACCCCTGAACTAGAAGAAAACCGATTGGAATCATTGTGAATCGGCTATTCCTTTTATTGTTTTCTTTTTTTTATATTTATTTCTTTCCTGTTTCGAATCTTGGATCTGGGTTCTGTTATAGCCTGCAACCGTGTTCCACACGGGCTTGACCCAGTTTTAGGGGATTTGTTCGCAAGACTGGTATTGATGTGTTTCGACACTCAATTTATCATCAAATCCTATGAATCTTGCTAATTGATTAAGGAAATCCTTGGATTACAGGGAGGAGATTTGGGAATGAAATCTGGATACTGATTTGCGAATTTGCTATTAGATCCCTAAATATCTGATTTTCTTCAAATCTTGTCTCTGAGATTTCTGATTTGACATGATTTAGTCCCCTGTTATTCTGATTTGTGCAATTTAATCCCCTTTTCAAGCTTTAAAAAAAATTATAATAATTCCCCAAAATTTTGGGGTATTACAAAAATTAAACATTTTAATGATTGGCTTGAATAAAATGTATAGAAAAAAATCACATTCCTAATAGATTGGTTATTGTAGTAATAACTCTTTGGCTCTAAATGGTTTTAGGAAAAAGAAAATCATGAGAGATTCTTCAATTAAAATATAGAAGTGAAAGGGCACAAAAAAATTATTATTAGCTTCCTTATTCAGAAATTCTTTTGCTTACAAATTTTGTTGAGACCATGAAATAAATTAATGTTCTTTTGAAGCATCAGAGGCATGGTGTCTTTGTTTCAAAGGTCAAGCCTTACAAAACATTGCTTTTTCCCCTTTTTTTTTGTAACTCTTTGTAAGCATTTACTCCTGAAATTGAGTGCGGCCTTAATCTTTCGAGCATTTTGCTCCCCTTGTTTAAAAAAAAGGGAAGAAACAGAGACACGCACACACACAGAAAGAGAGAAAGAGAGTACAGGTTTTGAGCAGAAATCTTTGTATTGCATTTTAGTCCTTAATTTTTTAGCCCTTTTTTGATTTAGTCATGCATCTTTTAATTTCAGCATTTTAGTCCCTATGTTGAATTTTTAATTTTTTTCTTTTTGTCATATCATTCTCTGATTTTTCAATTTTTTCATACAAACCATTATCTTAAATGTAATGAATAAAAGAATACAGTTTTATTTTATAAATGTGTCTGAAAAACACATAATAAAAGAGCAATACATTAATTACCTCTAAAATACTATATTCTAAAAATATGTTTTAATTTTAAAAAAACTAAAATACTATATTCTAAAAATATGCTTTAATTTTAAAAACAAGTATCCCGAAACTGGAAGAGAACATTGCTTAAGAGTTTATAAAATTTTGAGCTGTGGAAGTCAAGCTTCACAACTTTATCAAAACGACACCATATACGTGAAATGAATACATGGAACCACACACGTTGAGAATGATGCACACAACCACGGTAACTTGGTCCTACAATACAAACCTCAACCCAACAAAAAATTGAACTATCCACAAGCATGGTGCCCTCGAACTAATACGCTATACAAAGCCACTTGTATATATAATGGATTGAAATAACTATTTCGCTAGATATTAGCCAATCGTTTCACCTGCTTCTTATCCAGGTAATGTACATTTAATAGAATAAATAATTTTTATTCAACGTATTTACTTGAAAAGCACATTATATTAAGATGTAGAAAGAAGAAATAATTATATTATTTAAACTTGAAAAGCTCAGTTTGTCAAGCTCCTAAATCACAGAAGATGTCATGAAAACATAAATATAATGTCATTACTCTTATAAATAACTCAATTAGGCTTGACAATCTGGTGATGACACATTCATACCACACGAATTTATTCGAAAAATATGATTATTGTATGACATGAAATAAAATCCAATTTGACATAATTAATTTTATATTTATTATAAATATTTTATAATAATACGAGTAAAAATTTGAGATATTAACATGGCCACAAGTTGAAACAAATCCCATGAAAAATAAAAGAAAATCTTGATCAAAAGGGCCCATAAAAATGTTTTTATTTTTCGGCAAAAGCACAATACGTAAGGACTTATCAATGTCCGAGAAATCATTAACGTATTTGCACCAAAATATTAACCTGTTTCACTCGTGTGCCCATATGTATTAGACCTTTTGTGGCTTTGAACCACACATAGTGTGACGTGACTGCTTTGCTGGCACGAAAGCACCCGTCGAATATTTAAAGGGGCCGCGTGTCTGGCTGACGAATACATGCAATATAATGTTAATACTACCAAACATTGCCAAGCTTGCTTTGACTAAAACACAACAAAAAACAATAATATCAAGAACGCCAAGTTTGGCTTGGTGGACAAGCGTTTCCCTTTATTTTTTTGTGTCATGTCCAACATTTTAGTTATATATATATATATATATATATATATATCATATTAGAGTCTAAATGAGAGGATGTGAGAGGGAAAGAGTTAAAAATGAAGATTTTGAATTTTTACGAGTTTTACAAGGGCTGTGGCATGAGTTAGATATTAAATTATATTAATTTTGGTACTTAAATTTGTTTTTCAAAATTAGTTGTAAAAGAAATAAAAATAATAGCGATTAGTATTCAATTCTACCTCATTGTATTCAGTAGAAATTATATTTAATTTAAATGAAAGATTATAAGGAATAGTTAATTCATGCCCATCCCTTTATCCCCGGTCAAGAGAGGCGGTAGCAAAAATGTTGAAAAAATAGTCACAGTGAAAATCTCGACAATTATTGCCAAGACTAGAGCTGACTATACTGGACAAAGGTGTCTATTGACACGCATATTTGATAAGGACGACTTCTTCGCATTCATAAATCCCACCCATCTTTTAAGCCTGCACACAAGTAGCAAGCATATTGCCTCTGAATATCCTTCCTGCCAAATTACCTACTCCACTTAAACAAAGAGTGAAACCTTGACCGTTCTTAAAAGATTTCTTTGCGTGGTGAGCAATTCGTCTTCATTCGGAGTCTTTACACGGGTCAAGCCCACTCATACATGCTGACAATTAAGAGGGCCACATATCCCATATATACATTCCTCATTCTGTGAATCTGAAATATTTAAAGGAGGCATATATCTGGCTGACGAATACTAAGATGCAAGCAATATAATACTACCAAACATTAGCAAGCTTGCTTTGACCGAAACACAACAAAAACATCAAGAACGACAAGTTTTGCTTGGTGGACAGAGAGTTTATTTTTTGTTTCATGCCCAATAATTTTAGTTTTATATATAGTATACATATATATTAGGGTCTAAATCAGAGGATGTGAGAGGGAAAGAGTCAAAAATCAAAATTTTAATTTTTACATGAGTTTTACAAGTGCTGTAGCATGAGCTAGATGTTAAATTATATCAATTTTGGTACTTAAATTTGTTTTTCAAAATTAATTGTAAAAGAAATAAAAAATAATAATAGCGATTAGTGTTCAATTTTACCTCATTATATTCAGTAAAAATTATATTTAATTTAAATAAAAATATTCTAAGGGATAATTATTTCATGCCCATCCCTTTATCCCCGGTCAAAAGAGGAATAGTCACAGTAAATAATCTAGTTCATTATTGCCAAGACTAGAGCCGATTATACAAAGGGATGATCTCTTTTACAAAAAGGAAATACTTTAGATGGCCAAAGGTAAACAATAAACAACGCTGCGGTGAGGACGGATGCGTTATATATTATTAAAAAAAAGGGCCACCAGAAAGTGGGAAGAAGCCGGGTGACTAGGTGAACTATGAAAGTGATATATATGTATATATATTTCAAATGACCTTTGTCATTTACCAATTTCATAACATCTAAAGCGTGATATTTTCTCTCTGTCCAAGCTCTCCGTTAGTCAAACAAAGCTGGCTTTTTTTTTCTTTCTTTCCAAGTTGTCCATTAGTCAAACAAAGTTAGCTTTTGAGCTTTTCGATTTTAAAATTTGAAAATAATATTAACTTATTACCGCGTATCCCTTTTATGTATTGGACATTTTGCGGCTTTGGAACAGATATATACATCAAGGCAGAGTGATTATTATTCATGGCGGAGAACAAACGTCATGTCGTTTGTATACCATTTCCTGCTCAGAGCCATATGATGGCAATGTTAAAACTAGCAAAGCTCCTCCACCATAGGGGCTTTTACATAACTTTAGTTAATACAGCATCCAATAAAAAGCACTTACTTAGTGCTGGACAATCTTCTGCATTGGATAGCTTGCCAGATGATTTCAAATTCGAGACAATAATGGATGCGTTGCCTTCCTTTTCTATTGCCTCCCAAGACTATAATTCCCTTTGGCAATCCCTTGAAGATAATTGCGCAACTCAGGTTTTGAACCTTCTCACCAAACTTAGTGATGATGCCACTCTTTCCCACAATCCTCCGGTTACCGCTATTATCTCGGATGGGTTTATGCCGTTCACCACGGAAGCTGCTCAAAAGTCTGCAGTGCCTATCATTCTGTTCTGGCCCATCCCTGCCTGTGCTTTCATGGCATCTTATCAGTTCAAAGCCCTCAAAGATAAAGGCATAGCACCTCTAAATGGTACATATTCCAAGCTCTTTCTTATATGTCTTCTTAACTTATTTAAATCATAATATTTGAGACCTTTTAATCTAGACCATGTGAACTTTGTGTAGATCCAAGCGATTTGACAAATGGGTACTTGGAAAAGATTATTGACTGGATTCCGGGAATGAAAGATATCCGTCTTAGAGATCTTCCAAGCCCTTTCCGAACCACTGATCCAAATGACATATCGTATAATGCCTATATAAAATCAACACAAAATGCTACCAAAGCTTCAGCTAATATCATTCATACATTTGATGCATTGGAGGCAGATGTTTTGCATGTGCTCTCGTCAATGTTCACACAAGTGCATTCTATTGGTCCCATTCAGCTCCATCTCAATCAAATTTCAAACATGGATGAAAAGTTGAAGTCTTTAGGCTACAGCTTTTGGAGAGAAGAATCAGAGTGTCTACGTTGGCTGGACTCTAAGGAGGTGGAGTCTGTGGTATATGTAAATTTTGGGAGCTTAACCGTCATGACAGAACAACAACTTGTAGAGTTTGCGTGGGGACTTGCTAATAGTTGCCATTACTTCCTTTGGATAATTAGACCTGATTTGATCATGGGTGACTCTGCTATTTTGCCACCTGAATTTACTGCGGAAATTAAGGACAGAGGTCTAATCAGGAGCTGGTGTCCGCAAGAGGAAGTCCTGAACCACCCTTCAATTGGAGGATTTTTAACTCACGGTGGGTGGAATTCAATTGTTGAAAGCATCAGTGCTGGAGTTCCCATGTTGTGTTGGCCATTCATTGGGGATCAGATGACAAATTGTAGGTACTTATGCAGGGAATGGGAGATAGGTATGGAGATTGACAAAGATGTGAAGAGAGAGGAGGTCAAAAAGCTAGTAAGGGAATTAATGGAAGGTGAGCAAGGTAAGAAGATGAAGAAGAGGGCCATGGAGTGGAAGAAATTGGCAAAGGAGGCTACTAGTCCAGATGGTTCATCAACTTTTAGTTTAGACAACTTGGTTAACAAAGTATTGTTGTAAAATCTAAATTTCAGATTGATGATGGATTTGCTTTGAGTTTAGGAGACTCTTATTCCTTTAAAATTATTTCACTATGTTTCCTTTAGTTAACTATAGAAGTAGTAATCATCGTCTGTTCTTCTCCAAGTTTCCTTCCCCCTAACACCACAGCTCCCCAGTCTCTTCAAGGTCCACTAGGCTAGAATCTTGTCTCTCTCTATCTAGAATTAAGAGCACGTCTTTGTTAACATTGCTTTATTACAGTTATTTATGTTGTCTGTAAGATTCTTCAATAATTACTTTCTCTTAGTCTATCTGACTCTCAGCAAGTTTTCTCATTTATTTCAATTTTAATTGCATTGTTCTCGCAGCCATCCTTGCCCCCTAAGACTTGTAATTTCTTCTTCTTGCTTGTAAATGACTCCTTCAAGGGCTACCATGAAAGAACAATTAGTTTATTTGATTTTAGTATTTTTTTTAATTTGCACTAACTTGAATGATTTAAGTTGTTAAAAGCGGTTTAGATTTTCTAACCATTAATTGAAACTCATATTTAGAAAGAATAAATAGTTATATTTAGACTTGAAAAGTTCAGTTGGTCAAGCTCCCAGATCGCACAAGATGTCCATTTTGAATTAAAACAAATTTAAAAATATTATTTATTGGCAATATGAAATATAAATATAATGTTATTCATGTTATAAAATATAAATAACTAAATTAAGCTTGCTAATTTAAATCATGACATGCTAATACCACACAAACTGGGCTGTATTTATTCCCAAAAAAAGAAAATACGATTATGAGATGACATGAAATAAAACCTTTGTTGACATGATTTGATATAATTAACTTTATCTTTATTATGAATTAATATCTAATACTATCAATAACAATTTGAGATATTTTACTTTCCACACAAATTAAAGTATTAAGTTGACCACGCAACACGGATTGTCATCTCTGAGTTGAAACAAATCTTTTGTAAAGTAAAAATGGAATTTCATCAAAAGAGCCCGTTAGAATATTTTTATTTTTGTGCAAAAAAAAAGATGTATATTGAATTATTATTCGAGAAATCATTAACCTCTTTGGACGTATCCCATATGTAATAGACAGTTCGTAGCTTTGAACCAAACACATACACCTAGGCGGAATGATTATCATCCATGGTGACTTCGCCGATTTGCCTGCTGAATTCAGCGCACAAATTAAAGAAAAACATCTAATCGGGAGCTGGTGCTCGCAAGTGGAAGTCTTGAACCACTCTTCAAGTGGATGATTTTGGACTCACGGGAGGGTGAATTCAATTGTTGAGAGCACGTGGACTGGAGTTCCCATGCCGTGTTGGCCATTTAGTTGGATTAGATGACAAAATGCAGGAAAGTGTGAAGGGAATAGGATATGGGTAGGAAGATTGACAAAGATATGAAGAGAGAGGAGGGTCGAAAAGCTTGTAGGGGAATTGATGGGATGAGAGCGAGGTAAGAAGTTGAAGAAGAGGGCTGCGGAGTGGAAGAAATTAGCAGAGGATGCAACTAGCCGGGATGGTTCATCCTCTTTGAGTTCAGACAATTTGTTTAACAAAATATTATTGTAAAATAAGAATTGCGGGGTAGCTTTTTATGCATTGCGACGAAGAAAAGCATTTCAAGGGCTAGATGGAATATTTATTTAGTCTCATGCTGCCCCTCGGCTGAGACTGAAATAAACTACTTCCTATCAGTTATTGTAATGTATGTTGTAGGTCCTGCCCTACATTCAGATTTGCGGTTTGGCCATATGCAATGTTTTCAGGGTCTACCTACCTTTAAATATGGCCAGATATTCATGGCACTACTAGTTAAATAAATCAGCCATTAGAGAAATTTTAGTGAATTAAGTTTTGAATGGCTGGTTCTGTGTCTTTACTTGCCGAATCCCTTCAATCTCTTAAGTCGTGTTTGGCTGGCCAGGCATGAGTAGTGATGACAACTGGCCATGGCGGGGACGGCAATAGTTAGTTGGGTTCGGGTGTAGGGATGACAACCCGCCCCACTGCACACCCCGCCTCGACTTCGGAGGAAAGCTTTTTAATACGGGTAGAGATGGAAAAGGTGTTTCCCTTCGTGACTTTTATTACTTAAATTTTGATATAATATATTATATATTTATTTTATTTAATTTATGATTGAATATGTAATAACCCAATTTCAAGTTTACAAAGATTAAGTGATTAAAATGAAAGAATTAAATTTTAGTGGGGCTAAATTGAAAATTTTCCAGGGACCTTTTTGAGAGGAAACAAGGTTTGAAGGACTAAATTGCAATTTAACGAAATTTCTGTCAGGAACAGTGAACCGAGCTACTGTAGAAGCATGTTATATTGATTTGGAGTAGTTAGCTCGATTGAATCAAGCTTTTAAGATTGTTGTTGCCCATTACATTGAAGCCCTCAATCAATTTTGAGGTTTTAGAGAGAGAAATGAAAGGATTTAGAGATTTTTCAGCCGACAGAGTTGACGGATGGCCGATTGGAGGATTCGGCAGTTTTCATGCTTGTGGACCGATTTTAGTCCGATTAAAAGCCTTCGTGAGGACTGCCAAAGTCGGTTTAGTGGTTTTGGGTTGTTAATCGATCCAGGTTTGTAGCTTATCTTTGATTTTTTTAAAGATTTTGATTTCGGGTCGTTGCAAACTTGGATGGCTATATCGGATCTGAGGTTTGAGTAGAGATAATAGGACCTGGATGTCGGGTTGGTCTGGGCCATTAGCCCAGACTCGACCTAGATGGGTTGGCGGCCCATGGGCCAACCCAAAAAAAAAAAAGAAAAGGGGGGTTGAGGGGTTGAATCACCGAGCTATAGCCCAAGCTGATAGGCCCAAGCTGACAAGCCAATGGCCCGAGCTTCTAAGCCAAGCCGAGCCGCCAAGCCGAGCCGAGCCGCCAAGCCACTAAGCCGAGCCAAGTTGAGCCAGTATTTATAAAAAAGGGGTTTTGATTGAACCGGCCAGTGGGTTTGACTGGTCGGTTCAGTGGTCTTCTTGGCTCAGATTTTTGAAATTAGACTGGTTCTAGATTCAGGGGGATGAGATCTATTAGACCATGTGGGCCCGAGGGTTTAGGGAGATCCAGTTCAATCAAAAATTGGGGCCAAACCAGCCCGGTTCAAGGGTTCTAGTGGCTGGTTCAACATTGTTTTGGATGATTCTTGATCGGCTCAAACTAGTTCCTAAGGTTTTTGGGCTTTCTAAATCTGATTTTGAGGATCATGGCTAGATCAGTTTGGGTTGAGATAGTTTTGCACCGGTTTAAGTCGATTCGAGAGTTTTAGAAGTCAGTTCACTATAGTTTAGGGGTTTTGGAGGTTGGTTCTCTATTGTTCAAGGGTCGTTGAGTAAAATTGATGAGTGTTAGTGGTAATGGTGCGTCAAGATGTGTGCCAAGATGTTAAGATGGGATTTGAGCTAGTTTTGGGCTATTAAGCCGATTTCTTGTGCCAGTTTTGGTATTGGTAGTGATTTTGTGTGGTTTTGGTTATAGATACTCTTGAGAAGCTACACTTAGGCCAGTGAGTCGGGTAAGGGTGATCGGGACTTTCTTATTGGCTTGGCCTCGATACAGTGAGTGATGATATCTTTCCTGTGAATGTGTTTTTTATATTGTGTTTTCTGGCATGATAATCATGTGGTTTCTAAACTGTATTTTTGGATAAATGTTATACTTAGGATATGTGTTATGTGTTTTGTGAATTGTCAGTGAGCTATGTTGATATGATAATATTGGTTTTTGGGACATGGACTGTATATACGTATGTATACCTACTTTTTGACTTATATGTGAGGATGGTATCGTGTGATGTGATTTAGGGACACTAGGTGGCTTGATTGGAGGACGGCGATGCCGTAGCATCTAGTGCGAATGCCTTGGGTCCGATGTGAGCGACAAGGGCCGTAAACATGTTGTGCACTCTCATGATGTGTTTAGGATGGCAAGCTCAATCGACAGATGGAGGGCTATAGCGTACAGGGAGTGCCTTGGGCCCAGGGATGTGACGTGATTGGGTTACCAAGGGCTCATCCAACGAATAGTATACTGTCATAGCGTGTGGAGAGTACCCTAGCCCAGTGTTGTGTTATAATGGTTGATTATGTTGATACCTCACATATGTGTTTTGTGTGATTACACCTCACATATGTGTTTTGTGTGATTACTGCTCACTGTATATGTATATGTATTTTGGACTTGTGATGTGATACATATCCTAACATGCATAGATTAGGTATCATCTATACTCACTAAATTTTATGACTCATATTTTATAAATATTTCAGATTTGGTTTGTGGTTCTTGCCTCAGTTGGTGTGTCGGAGATAGAGCGTGGATCAACTAAGAATTTGTTGTACGGGCATCTTGATTTTGTATCTCTTTATCTTGTATTCTAGAGTAACTTGTTCATACTCTTAGATAAGGTCTTATATCATGGAGATTGGATATTGTATGGTGATTTATGATTATTTATTTGATGAGATGAGTATTGTTAGTATATTTTGTAGTTGAGAGGTTGACTAGGATCGGTGGACCCTACTGCCAGTCACGGTCCGAGGTAGGGTCATGATAGAGTTGGTATCAAAGCTATAGGTTATTCTGAGAGAAAAAAGAAAGCGGAGTTCTTTTGTAGTACTTTTATTATAAGGGTAAAGGCCCCACTTTCATAATGGAATGATTGCCAAAGGCCTTTTAGAGTGTGTTAGGCATCAGTTTTTCAATTCGTCAATGTGCCCAATTCCTTCGATATCTTTCTAATCCTTGTATTTTGTGTATAGATGGACTTGCCAATTGATGTGCATATGATTCCCTGAGAGGCCACAAGTTTGAGGGCATTAGAGGATCCCACAGGTGGTTTAGCCCCTTCTCTAACTCAAAGTAGACAATAGGGTAGAGGGCGTGGCAAGACAATGAGGCATGTCGAAGATTCGGCCACAGGGTTGGGTTTGACTGTGCTTACTAATGTAGTGATCGGATTAATAGTGGACATCCA